ATACAGACGTGACAAAACAATGAATGCTGTTGTGATTAAAAGCCAAGGCAAACAGCTGGAACATTTTCCAGATTTGTCCCTGTTGGGGTTGACAGTGTCTGGGGGGAAGGACACAGAGCATCTGAGTGTGTTTCTGGGGAACATTTGATGTTCAAGTACAAACAACAGCAAGGACCTGTGTGTCTGGTGGTGCCGACAGGGCTGTGCAGGGCCACAGCTGGGCTCTGAGGTCTTGCCCTGCTCACCACTGACTCCACCTGGAGGCCTTGTCAGGATTTTGGGCATGCCCTGCTCTAGCCCACACATCTGCGCAAATGGTGTCCCCCACAAGATTTAGACCTCCTACAAAAGGGCCCAAGCACCCACCCTGGATGCTGGAGTCCAAGACACAGGATTTGGACTTGCTGGGGCATTCTCTGTCACACTCAGCAACTTCCTGTTCAGGATCTGATGTGTGGTGTGAGACCCAGGAAAGCAGCAAACAAGGGGGAGAGAGAGCCACATCCCTCCAGAAAGGGTTTTATTAATCCATCCAGTTTAAAAGAGGAGGGAGGGAGAGGAGAAGCTCCACAGAGGAACGAGGCCCCTCCTCCCTGTGGCTGTCCCCCTTGCCACTCCTGAGCAACCCTGGAAACCCAGCGTACACCAAACCCTAAACCCCAAACCCTATCCCTAATCCCTAACCCCAACCTTAATCCTAACCCGTAATCCCTAACCATAACCCCTAAACCTAAACCTAAACTCTAAAACCTAAACCCTAACCCCTAAACCTGAACACTAGCCCTAGCCCTAGCCCTAACCCTAACCCTAAACCCTAACACCAACACCAACACCAACACCAACACCAACCCTAACCCTAAACCCAACCCCAAACCCCTAACCCTAACCCCCTCACCCTAACCCTCTAACCCTAACCCTAACATCCTCACCCTCATACCCTCACCCTAAACCCCCAACCATAATCTCTGACCCTGAACCTGGACCGCTAACCCTAATCCTCAAACCCTGACTCTGAACCCAACCCCTAACCTCTAACCTTAACCCTGACCCTAACCCCTAATCCCTGCCCCAGATCCTGACCCTAACCCTGACCCTGTGACCCTGTCCCTGACCGTAACCCTAACCCTATTCTGACCCTGACCGTGACCCCAGCCCTGGCCCTAGCACTAGTCCTAGCCCTAACCCTAACCCTAACCCCTACCTCCTGCCCCCTACTGCTACCCTACTCCTATCCCTGATCCTGTCCCTAACTAAGACCCTACAAATGTCTTTTCTTCTTTTGGTGCTGTCTATGGCTTTGCCACAAGGATCCTGATCCTCGGGGTTATGGGGAAAAAGAAATCACTCCTGTGGAGAGGTGACAAGACCAGGAGGGGAAGAAAGAAAAATAAAAAAAAAAAGGGGGGAAAAAAAAATCACTCCTGTGGCACACTGAAATGGTTACTTCTAAGCACACTTCCCCCAGAGTTCTTTTTTTTTGAGATTGTCTTGGTTTGTTCCCTAAGCTAGAGTGCCATGGTGTCAGCCTAGCTCACAGCAACCTCGAACACTTGGGCTCAAGTGATCCTGCCTCAGCCTCCCAAGAAGCTGGGACTACAACTGATCACCACCACACCCAGATAATTCTTTGTATTTTTAATAGAGACGGGGTCTTGTTCTTGCTCAGTCTGGTCTTGAAATCCTGAGCTCAAAAGATCCTCT